CTGGCTGATCTCGGCTCCGCTCCTTCGCAGGGCTTGCTGAACATCCTGCTGCAGAGAGAGCGAGCCTTGGTAAGCGCAGCCCTTGGGTCCCATCCGACTCGCGCCGCTTTACAGCCTGCCACTGCGCACCGATCCTGGCCCATCCGCCGCTGACTCGGCGCGCGGATTTCTTTGTCACAGGCGTCTCTGGGAAAGCCACTGCAGCCCTTGCTGGTGGTCGCCCCCACCCAGCTCAAGGCCTGGCTGCAGCAGTACCACAACCAGTGCCAGGAGGTTCTGCACCACGTGAGGTGAGTGTCAGGGCGGCCGGAGCACCTGGACGCCTGCTGTGGCCTCGCTGTTGTCCCTGTGGGCAGGAGCAGGGGAGGGAGGCTCTGCTTCACGGGCAGATGCGTGTCTGCTTGGAGGTGTCTTCTCAGCCTGCTTCCTACGCCTGGGCGTGGGCAGGACCAGGCACCAGCTGTGGGCTGGCACGGACGCTGGCCACACCGGGGCCTGGTCCACACCTGCAGCAGGGGGAGGAAGAGTGTCTGCCCAGACTTGCCTGAGTCCGGGGGGTTGTTGAGCCCTTTGGGTTACCGTTGCCCAATCTTAGTGACAGATTTTTTTTTAAGACTTATTTGAAAGGCAAAGTGACAGAGAAGGGGAGACAGACAGAGGTCTTCCATCTGCTGGTTCACTCCCCAAGTGGCTGCAAGGGCTGGGGCTGGGCCAGCAAAGCCAGGAGGTTGTTCTGGGTCTCCCACGTGGGTGCAGGTACCCAAGCACTTGGGTCATTTTCTGCTGCTTTTCCTGGCCGTTGGTAGGGAGCTGGGTCAGAAGTGGAGCTGCCAGCCCTCTATGGGATGCCAGTGCTGCAGGTTCGGCTTAACCTGGTTTACCACAGTGCTGGCCCCATGGTGCATATTTTCATGTTTTGTCTTCTCACAGCTTGATTCCTGCCAAGTGCCTTCAGAAAGGGGCCGAGGTCTTGAATCCCATGGTTGAAGGACAGATCAGTTCGCTGTTGGAAATGTGTGACTTGAAAGAGGTAAGGGGACCAGCCACAGGCACTGAGGAGGGTGAGGTGGGGGCCTAGCGCGGCCCTGCAGCCCCGTGGCCCCGCGGCCCCGCAGCCCTGCAGCCCTGCAGCCCCTCCCCTTCAGTTTCAGACCTGCCTGGTCCGGCACTGCAAGCACGCCTACGGCTGTGCCCTGGTGCACACTTCCGGCTGGAAAGTGGTCTATTCGGGCGACACCATGCCCTGTGAGGCTCTGGTCCAGATGGGTGAGTAGAGCGAGACGAGCGGCCCCGCGCTTGCTGTGGGGACTGTGCAGCTGCGTGCAGGGTAGCATCAGTGCTCGCGAGGCACCGGGCCAGGGCTCAGCTGTGCGAGCCCACAGCCGCATGCCTGTGCTGCTTGCAGGGCAGGATGCTACCCTCCTGATCCATGAGGCCACTCTGGAGGACGGGATGGAGGAGGAGGCAGTGGAAAAGACACACAGGTAGCAAAGCCCGCTGGCCCTCACCGCCCTTCCCCCGGGGCGCCCTGAGCAGTCGGGCAAAGGCACTCCCTGAACCCGCAGCAGTTCTCCCGTGGGCCTTGGCTTCCCAGGGTTCTCCGAGAGGGTTCTAGATGAGCTGTGTGTCTGGGAGCCAGCAGGGGAAGGCATTTGCACAAATGCCTGGTTCCCAGTAACCAGGCCCTCTGACGGGAGGCGTGGCAGCCAGCATGGGCTGGGCTCGGCTCGAGGCACGAGGGAAGGGTGCTGGCTCAGGAGGTGCCAGCCGAGGGAGGGATGCACCTGCCTGCCCTGGGTCCCGAGCAGTGAGTGGGCCGGGGTCTGCTCTGGTTCCCTGCTTCGGAGCCTGCCCTGTGGTTCAGCTGCCTCACGGAGTGCCTGGCCCACAGCACCACCTCGCAGGCCATCGGCGTGGGGATGCGCATGAAGGCCCAGTTCATCATGCTGAACCACTTCAGTCAGCGCTACGCCAAGATCCCCCTCTTCAGCCCAGACTTCAACGAGAAAGTCGGGATTGCCTTCGACCACATGAAGGTCTGTGTTGTATGGGCCATGTGGGGCAGGAACCAGGCCGGGGCTGGCCCCTCCCATCCTGCCCAGGATGCTGGGGAGGCTGCCTCCTGGCTCTGTCTCCATCACCGACCTGGTCATGGCCTTGGGTTTGATGCGGGGGACCTGTCTATGGCAGAGACCTTCTCGGTGTCATCCCTTGGTCCAGTAGAACATTCTCAGAGGTTCTCTCAGGCCTGAACCGTTCCATCATGACCTGGGAGATGGCTGCTCAGGTCTCAGCCTTGCCCCCTGGGCCCTGCAGGTGAAGGGGTGGGGCTGGGAAGCAGGTGCCACTGTGATGCCAACGCAAGACGTGTGCAAACCGGGGCAGCAGCCCTCGCCTGTGCCAGCCCAGGGGTTTGGTAACAGTCTGGGCTGCCTTCCCGTCCCCTTGTTTTCTGCAGTCCTCTGTTTTGCTGACTTCTGCTAGGAATGGGGGGACCATCCCCTTCCTTAGATGCCCCCCCCCCATGGCATTTTTGATTTTTTCTTTGAAGCTGTGCTGTTGGCTTGAGGGAGAGTGCAGGGTCGGTGCCTGGCTCTCACTGTGGCTCCCTCCCCCACCCCGTCCAGGTCTGTTTCGGAGACTTTGCCACAGTGCCCAAGCTGATTCCCCTGCTGAAGGCCCTGTTCGCCGGGGAAATCGAGGAGATGCAGGAGCGCAGGGAGAAGCGGGAGCTGCGGCTGGTGCGGGAGGCACTGCTCTCCCAGGAGCGGGCGGGCAGCCCCCGGGACGGGGAGCCCCAGCAGAAACGGGCCCACACCGGGGAGCCCCGCAGCCCCCAGAGCAAGAAGGTCAGGGCCTAGAGGAGGTCCAGGTACAGCCTGCGCCCTGAAGGCTGGACGTCGTCCCCTCGCCCCACCCCGCCGCGGTGGGAAGAGAACTCGGTCCAGGGGGTGTGGAGCCGTGTGCTGCCCGCCGAGTCTGCCGGATGCTTCCTGTGACAAGAGCCTGGCCCAGCTGCAGGGCGGGAGTCTGCTCGATGGAGGGAAGCAAGTGCCACTGTGATTCCAATGCAAGTCACATGGAAACCCAGGGTGGCACCCCTTGTCTGTGCCAGCCCAGTGCTTCCCTGAGCCCACCAGAGAGAGACCAACAAGTGACAGGGAGCGGGCGCAATAAAGATGGAGTTTGGAACCCGAATCCTTTCGCTTCATTCTGTGCCTGGGAAGTCTACTCTGATGGTGGCGAGGACCGGTGAAGCCTGGCCAGGGGCACCCTCCCGATCAGTGCCCTCCGATGGGCTCAGCCTGGTGCGGCGCAAAGCATGTGTCTTCCCGTGCTGTGGGTGAGCGTGGAGGTGCTCACCTTGCTCGCTGTAGCCTATGAGAACACTTGAAAGTATAGAGAAACATCACAGCGGCTGGCCCCTCTGCACCCCACATTAAGACAGCTGATTTAGTATTTATTTGTGCAGTTCCTCACCCAGGAGAACACGGAAAGAGCCTTGGAGACTCGGGTGACGAGAGAGGTGCAAGCCGAGGACTTGGCCTGGCGGTGCCCTCAGGCCTCCGCGGACGCAGCCTGAGACGGTAACTGTCCCCGCGGGTTCCTCATCCATACAAGAACATGTGCCAAGCTCAGGGATAATAAATCTATTTTAATGTTACTTTTGACAGCGGTTTTTGTCCATATATTTAAAGATAACTCTCACCCCCCCCCCCCCCCCCGCCTCTCTTACACACTGGGGATTGGCCTGCCCTCGCCAGGAAGTGAGAAAGCCGCCACATGGAAAGCCTGCGCCTCCCACCTGGAGAAGGGGACTCCACACTGTGTCAGGGAAAAGACCTACGCGTTCAGATTCCTCGTCATACACCTGTACATTGGTTTCAATTGAATGGCTCAAATTAAACAAATATAGATTTCATATATACAAATATTCTATCATGTATAGGTATAGTATATCTATTGTAAAAGGATAAAATTTTAAACTTTTGACTGTGCATGCACGGCCCAAATCTGGTTCTCACTCCTTAATCCCAAAGTGTGAACAGGTTCCCCGTGCCTTCCCGGTCCTTTCTCAACCCAACCCCAGACAGGGAGGGGCTGAGCGGCTTGGGCCGGGGACGCCCCGGACCCCTGTGCCTCTCCCGCACATGCTCTGGGTCAGAGTTATTGCTATTCACTTGTAACCTCCAGGAAACAGGCTCCAAGGCCCCCTACCCAGGGAGCCGGGTGCCTCCAGGTGCCTGCAGGATCAGAATTGCTCAGGTGTCGTATTTTTTTAAGGTGCATAGGGAGCTCGCTTGGGGTCCTCCAGATATGGTCATTCAGAAATAAAAGAGGGAGTGAAGGGAGCTTTTAGTTGCACAGGTAGGGGAAAAAGAACTCGGAAAATGACTCAAACAAGTTTTGTTTTAGGCTGTTACGGTTCTGGAGCCCTCCAGTGACCAGCCCCTCTCCGAGCAGCAGGCAGAGGTCAAGGTCAGTGCCTGGGACCTGGGGAATTCCAGCTTAGTCCAGCTCTGAGCAAAGGGCTCCCCTGCTCTCCGGTCCCCTTTGTGAGGCCCCACATTCCCCCTCCCCCCGTCCGAGGAAAGGCAGCAGCCCCAGGGTCTAGCCTGGCCACTGGGCCCTCCACTGCACCCCCCCACCCCACAGAGGGCCCTCCGGTGGAGATGCAGGTACTGCCTAGCGCGGAGGCTGAAAGTGGATCAAAATAGGCACAAAGTCAAAAGGCAAAGGTCAAACGAAAGGCCAACGTCACCACCCGAAAGGAAACAAAACATCTGCACCAACATAGGCCGCACGCGGGCTGCAGGTCACGGCTCGCGCCCAACTCCAGCCTCGCGCCGGCAGTGCCGGGAGGAGCCGACAGGGGACTTGGCAAGCTCGGGGACGCTGCTCCTGGCGGCGTGTTTCCGGGGCCCACGTAGGTATGTACACGCATGGCGGGGACAGGCGCCGGCCACTCAGAGGGCTGTGCTCTCGGACTCCTCCTCCGAGTCCCTCTTGTCAGTCACGGAGTGTCGCCGTGCGTGCTCCAGGGGGCTCAGGCGGAGCGTGGACCCCAGCTCGATGTGGATGGACGGGATCTCGAAGTGGGTCATATCTGTAAGCAGGCAGAGAGAGGGCGCTGATCGGGGGGCTCCGGCTCCCCAGGAGCCTGCTGGGGGCCGACGTGGTCAGCGTTAGGAAGCAGGGGGCATAGAGGCCGGCCAGAGCCTGTTAACACACCGTCAGATTGAGGCCAGAGGCTCTGCTTCTACCTGGGAGGGTGGCAGGCCCGGGCGTCTGGGTTCGGCTGTGGTGACCTACAGGGGCTGGCCCAGGGAGCTCCTGCCCCACAGGAGCCACCCCAGACTCCAGGAGGAGAAGGCGCGGGGCCGTCTCCTTCAGGATCTACTTAAGATCATTTAGCTCTCGTCTGCAGGGCAGGACTGAGACTCTAGAAAGATCCCCTCATCCCGTGACCACGAGGAGCAGTCCTTGGGACAGCTGCCTGGGGACCCTGGATTGCAGGAAACCCCACCTAGGTTCAGGCTGCAGAAGGTCATTCGTCCGGGGGAGGTCAGGGAGATGGCCCCCAAGTCCCATGGCTCAGTGGCTGCAGCCGTTAGGGCATGGCCAGAAGAGTCCAGAGCCAGCAGCTCGGGGACATGAGCACCCTGTGCCATCAGGATGCTGGGACCAGCCCTCTGCTCTGGGGGTGGAGGTGGACTACTCCGGCCCCACCCTGAGCGTGGTAGGGAAGCAGCTCCGGGCCACTCACGGGAGCTGGGGTGTTTGGGCCAACATGTCCAGACTGCACAAGGCCATGCTGCGTGTAGACACACATGCGACACAGCCCTGAAAGACGCTCCACGGACACGGACGCTCTGGGACACAGGCCGCCTCCCTCGCCCCCTCCGGGGGTCCTCCGGATGCCACTGCGGCCAGCTCTGACCTGCTGCCGCAGGAGTGGAGGTCTGCTGGGGGGACAGTGGCTCCCCCGGGCCGTCTGTGCTCAGGCCTGCCTCTGCCCTTCCCTCCTGCAGGAGTGAGGCTGGGTGGGCCCGCTGTCAGGTACAAGGACCAGCCTCACTGCTTGGATCCACAATGCCCTGTCTGTCAAGCTGTATGGCTGTGGCCTGGGAACGAGCCTGTCCCCACTCCGGCACCTCAGCAGTGAAATGGGAGGCAGAGGAGTGAGGCTGGCTGGGCCGGGGCAGTGCAGAGAGCACACCGGGCCACCTTCCTCCTGGCCTGCCCATTCAGGGACCCCTGTGGGAGCTCTGTTGGGAGCCCTCAGGTCGGGTGGGGGGAGTCCCCGTGCTGCCCCTTCTCCGTGAGGCCAGGCCACCTCTTTACTCTGGCTGCTCTCCTGCTCTTGCCGTGGCTTCACTTTCGAGCCAGAGGAGGGGCCATACTGCTCCCAAAACACTTCACTGACGTGGACAGACTGGACGTGGCCGGCCATCCATCCGCCGGTGAGGGGTGGGTGGGGAAGAGCTCTGAGACCCCGGGGCCTCCGGGATTTGCCAGCTGCCTCAGCCTGCAGTGAGGCCCGATGCTGGGGCGGCCCAGGGAGTGCTCCCAGCCGGGCCCTCTGCTAACGGGCTCCCCCCGTGCCCTCCACGTCCTAGGGACGCCGTGGAAGTGAAGAAGAGCTAAGTCTGCTGGATCTCTTCTAACCAAAGCCAAGGAAGCTGGCAAGAGTGAGGCGGCCATGCGGGTGGTCTGAGCCACATGCAGAGAGGGGGCGGGGCCGTGGGGGCGGCCAAGGGCAGCTGGCCGGGGTGGGAGGGGGCGAGGCCGGGGCCGGCTTACCCTGAAAATCCCCCTCACACGTATCCAACACCGCGCCACTCATGTCACACAGCTGCAAGAACACAACAATAGGCTTCGGAGAAGGAACAGACACGATGCAACAGCAACGTCACAGAAACACTGCGCCAAGGGGCACGGTCCCAGGCCCGCCACACCGGCCCAGAGGCCCGAGCGTGCAACAGAACGACAGCCTGCTGCTGAAGACTGCAACAACACAGGTGCCTACGCTGCGCGGCTCGGGAGCCCTGGCCTGCAGCCCTGTCCACTCGTGGCCCCAGATCTCTCGGGCTGCTCCTTGCATGCTCCCTTCCACCTCCAGCACGGTGTCCCTTCCTTAGGGAGGCCGGGACAGTGAGCAGATGTTGGGTGTGGAAGGGGCAGTGAGCCGGCTCTGACGGGAGCTCCTGGGGCAGGTGCCCCATCCTCTCCCATCACGGCTCACTCAGGAATGACCAAGGCAGTGTTCATTCAGCCCCAGGTGGCTCCCCCTTCTCCCGTCCCGTGGCAAACACCTGCACACCCGGCTAAGCTTTTGCCTAGCCTGCAAGGAGCAGAGTCCCACAGGCTACGGGCTCCCTACTACTAGCAGAGGAAAACATCCTTCTTGGAGAGAGCCAAGGTTGGGGGGGGGGGGGGTCTGTTCTAGGACCCCAGGATGCGTGTCCACTCCCTCCCAGGCTGCCTCACCTGCTACTTGAGCAAGGGAAGCACTCCGGTGACTGGCAGACGCCACAAACGTGTCCAGTTTACCACCATGTGTGGTCAGAGTGTCTATGGCTATGGCTGTCTTAACCGCTGAGTGTGTCAGCTCACTTCTGTTCTGAGACTGACCCCTATCTGAATGCGACTCTAGAAAGATGGCAGCCGAGGCTCATCTGCCCCCAGGGAGCCCCAGCTTTGGTTCTCAGCCCCTCTCTAGGGGACACCTTGGGCCTCTCACCTGAGTTACGGCGTCAGCTTCCTACCATGCCCTGAGAGAGAGTGCTCAAGCACAACAGAGAGCAGAAGCAAAGGCCCTGGGCTGCTGGCCGCCGGCACAGCCCCCTCGGGGCACAGGGCGAGGCCCGTGACCCTGCCTAGGCTCCGGCGCTTACCTGTGGACATGCTTTCCCCGGGAGACATGCCGTCCAGCATGGGGTGCTCCGTGGCCTGGGGACTGGAGGCCGAGAGGCTGGCGGTGGGGGGCTGGGGTGGCGGCAGAGTGGGCCTCTGTCGGGGCTTCGGCGTGGGCCGCGATTTGGTTAAAGTGCTTGTGAAGACCGAAGGAGAGGCCAGCGGGGCAGCTGCAGCCGGGGACAGCTGGCCAGAGGCCAAGGAGTAGCCCTGAGGGTAACTCAGTCCGTAGGGCGACGGGGTGCTCGGCGGGGTGGGAGACAGGCTGACTGGGGATGGCTGGCCGGCAGGCTGCTCCGTCACAGCCCCTGGCTGGCCAAAGGGGACCTTGGGTGGGATGGGCGCCAGCTTCTTGGAAACTGGAAGAGAAAAGCCCACACAATGGCGACAGAACATAGGGCGGTCAGACCAGGACGCCACTGCCTCGCTGGGCCACCCCACTCTGCCCTCGGCCTCCTGCCAGACTAACAGCAGACCACGCAGGTGTGTTTATTTACTAAAGACTTACTTATTTGAAAGAGTTACACAAAGGTAGAGAGATCTTCCATCCGCTGGTTCATTCCCCAGATGGCCACATGGGCTTGGAGCTATGCCGATCAGGAGCCAGGAGCTTCTTCCAGGTCTCCCACACAAGTGCAGGGACCCAAGAACCTGGGCCATCTGCCACTGCTTTCCCAGGCCATAGCAGAGAGCAGGGTGGGAAATGGAGCAGCCAGGGCTTTAACCCGCTGTGCCAGAGCACCGGCCCCAGGTGTTGTTTTTTTTTTTTCTTTTTGACAGAGTGGACAGTGAGAGAGAGAGACAGAAAGGTCTTCCTTCCGTTGGTTCACCCTCCAATGGCTGCTGCGGCTGGTGCGCTGCAGCCGGCGCACTGCGCTGATCCGAAGCCAGGAGTCAGGTGCTTCTCCTGGTCTCCCATGGCATGCAGGGCCCAAGCACTTGGGCCATTCTCCACTGCACTCCCGGGCCATAGCAGAGAGCTGGCCTGGAAGAGGGGCAACCGGGACAGAATCCAGCACCCCGACCGGGACTAGAACCTGGTGTGCCGGTGCCGCAAGGCGGAGGATTAGCCTAGTGAGCCACGGTGCCGGCCCTTGGCCCCAGGTTTTAAAACAAACCTGGAACTCTGTGTTTGCCTCTCTTTTTGCCTGATAACTCATTTCACCTCCCCTCTCCTGGACTCCAGCCATGGTCTACATGCGCATACCCAGCCGAGGGGGAGAACAGTTCCCAGTGCGAAGGGCACTCAAGGAAAGTCAGTCAGCGAAGCCTAGTGAAGATGGTTCAAGTTGAAGCTGCCCCAGCACAGCCTGGGAGTCAGAGGCAATCCCTGGGAACCTGCCTCACAACGTTTGGCTCCCAGGACCGTGAAACATGGCCGGATGCTCTGTGCCAAAGCCTGGAGATTCTGTGTCCTTGAGTCACGCGGAAAGATTTTCCATCCACCGGTGCACCCCCAAGTGGCCGCAACAGTGAGCCCTGGGCCAGGCCAAAGCCCAGGCACATTAGTAGGGAGCTGGGTCGGAAGCAGAGCAGCCAGGACTTGAACCTGCACCCGTGTGGGATGCTGGCACTGCAGATGGCAGTTTAACACACTGCACCAGAGAGCCTGGCCCTCAATAGATTATCTTTGAAGAACTGCGCCCTCTGCAGGGGCTGGCATTGTGGTGCACTGGATTAAGCCACCAGCTGTGGCACCAGCATCCCATATGAGCACCATTTTGAGTCCTGGCTGCTCCACTTCCTATCCAGCTCCCCGCTAATTCACCTAGGAAGGCAGATGGGGATGGCCCAAGTCCTTGGGTCCCTGCATTCACACAGGAGACCCAGAGGGAGTTCCAGGCTCCTGGCCTGGCCCTTTGGGGAGTGAATCAGTGGATGGAAGGTCTTTTCTCTGTTTCTCCCTCTCTGTCAAATAAACCTTTATAAAAAAGGATTGCAGGGGCTGGCACTGTGGCACAGCGAGTAAAGCCGCTGCCTGTGGTGCTGACATCCCATATGGTTCCTCTTCCAATCTAGCTCTCTGCTATGGCCTGGGGAAGCAGTAGAAGGTGGCCCCAATCCTTGGGTCCCAGAGGAAGCTCCTGACTTCAGATCAGTGCAGCTCTCTCTGTTGCGGCCATCTGGGGAGTGAACCACCAGATGGAAACCCCTCCCCCACCCCACCCTTCACCCCCCACCTCTCCTCTTCGTAACTCTGGCTTTCAAGTAAGATTAAATCTTAAAATTGCAGGGCTGGCACTGTGGCACAGCAGGTTAAAGCCCTGGCCTGAGGTACCAGCATCCCATATAGGCGCTGGTTTTAGTCCCAGCTGCTCCTCTTCCGATCCAGCTCTCTGCTATGGCCTGGGAAAGCAGTAGAAGATGGCCCAAATCCTTGAGCCCCTGCACCCGTGTGGGAGACCCAGAAAAAGCTCCTGCCTTCAGATCAGCACAGCTCTGGCTATTGCGGCCGTCTGGAGAATAAACCAGGGATGGAAGACCCCTCTCTGTCTATCTCAGTAACTCTTTCAAATAAATATAAATCCAAAAAACCTGCAGGCTTTTTCAAAGCCCATCACCATCCCGACCTCCTGCGCATTACTTCCCGTTTCCAGTCTGGAGATTGCAAAGCAAGCATGGAGAAGCAATCCTGACTCCCTCCTCTGCGGCACCAGGTGTGAGGCTGCCCCTGTCTGGACAGGCGGCCGCTGTGGATGACTCCACACAGCTTTTTAAATGCTGGAGGTCAGGGACAGCGCTGCAGCAGAGAGGGTGACGCTGCTGCCTAAAACACTGGCATCTCATATGGGTGCCAGTTCAAGTCTGGGCTGCTCCACCTCCAGTCTAGCTCCCTGTTAATGAGCTTGGGAAAGCAGCAGAAGGTGGCCCAAGTGCTTGGACCCCTGTACCCGTGGGGGAAACCCAGATGAATTGCCTGGCTCCCGCCTGTCCCAGCCCTGGCCATTGTGGCCATCTAGGCAGTAGTGAACCAGTGGGTGGACGATCTCCTCTCTGACTTTCAAATAAATAAATGCCAGAGGTTGGGCCTGGCAGGCCCATGGGATACCTGTGCTTCTCCAAGGAGAACTCACCAGTGGAATCCATGCCCTTACAAGCTACCTCGTGTGACGATCCTGCTTACAGTTGGTTAACTGCCAAACACCAATGCCCTGAACTGTCCAGGGACCGCGGTTTCTGGCTGTCCGCGCTGATGGGAGGGCGCAGTGCTCCCTGGGCTGGAACCAACAGGAAGGCTGCGGCGACAGACGTACCTTTCCGCAGGGTGTGAGGACTCTGGTCTGCTGGCGGCTGGCTGGGGCTGGAGCCTGGTGGTCCCCCTGGCTGCGTCCCTGCACAGGTGGGCCCCTGGCTGGAGCCTGGACTCCCTTTCTGCCCAGACCCTGGAGAAAGTTCCTTGTTTTTAGACGTGCTGGAATGCAAGCACACAGGACAAGGGGACCCTGAGCTCAGCCAGCTGCAGCATGGGCCATGCCGGCTGCAGATCCACACACTCGTCAGTGCTCTGCCCAGGTCTGCCCCGGCTCAGGCATGTCTCCGTCCCTTCTCAGCCTGCACAGGCGCCTCTCGAGGTGACTGCCCCTTCTCGGAGCTGGGACGGCCTGGGTTACAGCCCCCTCCCACGTTTCCATCTTCTCTCAAGGATACCACAAGCAAGGGCAGGGCAGGGCAGGGCAGCCCCTGACCATCTCCACTGTGTCCGGGTCTCACAAGGGAATCCCAGAATTCTCTAACATTCTGAGCCTGGAACACGGATGTGTTCTCATCCCGTCTATTGCTCAGCAGGCCAGAGGGGGCCACCAGGGCTGCTGAGGCGGGCTCCCATTGCCCACCCTGGAGCCTCCATCACACCTGGGCAGCGGAAGGATTCTGGGGGCTCCCCAACAGGAGCCAGCAGGTGGCAGGGTTGGCACAGACCTAGGTGGTGCCCCTGCACATGGGCTGGTTCAAGCCCCAGTCCTGTAGGCTCAAGGGAGGTTGTGGCTCAGTGACACGGGAGGACCCCAGGTCCTTGAGAGCAGCCACCCTTCCCCGCCAGGCTGAACCTCAGGCCACCTCCTAAGGGCAAAGTGCATGCTTGGAGATGCCACAGCATCGGCCAGGGAGGGACCCGCTTGTGCTGCAACCTCCAGCTCGCCGTCCCTGGGAGATGACCCTAACTGCTCAGTGTGCACCCCAGCAGGGCTCCCTTCCAACGAAACACTGCCAGCAGGTGCCCGGGGGTAGGGGGGAGCCACCTGGGTCTGCATGACCTTAAGTGGTGTGGTGTGGAGCAGCCTTCCCAGGGGCTCTTTCTCTCTCTGTCCTCCCCACCCCCCAAAAAACAAAACCAACAACAAGACAGCCCCAGCTTATTTCTTCCCTAACTTTATCTAGGATATGAATTTGGAGGAATATCAGTAGGAGTGTACCACTTGTGCCCACTGAGGCGTACAGAGAAAGACTGGGAGCAGGGACAGGGCTGGGACAGCCAGCATGTCCAGAGGACAGGTGGTTTTCTCCATGGGAGGGGGGAAGGAAAGAGCTGGTTTAAGGTTGTGATGCGTGATCCAGGGAGGGCGCCTGTGCCTCCCCCGCTGCACCCAGGGGAGTGTGCTGCCTCTGTTACACTCCCTGGGGGCGGGGGTAGTTCCACCAGGGAAAGCACCCATACTATCCACAGCAACTAAAAGAGCAAACATTTCCTTCTGCATTCTTTTAGAAACAGAAACAGAAAGCCTTTTCCTCTCCAGGGCTGTGCAAAGACTGGACTTTCAAGCTCAAGTTCACCGGGCACAGGGGCCTGAGTTCCAAACATCTACCTACCCGTCCAGCCATCTGACCACCATCATGAGTTAGGTCAAACCAGCAACCTGACAGACCCCTTCTTGGGTGGCTGCGGGCTCCTCTCCTCCTCTAAAGCGTCGAAACGTGGGCCTGAGGATCTGGGGTGTGAGCTCCTCCTGTGCCCTCCCACCGGATCCACATTCCCCCAAGCATCATCTCCTGAGCCTGGCTCCCCCCTCCCAGGCACAGCACAGGTGCAGTTGGCCCAGCGGGAAACAGGGGCAGGAAAATGGTTATTAGAAGCCCTAGGCAGAGGCGGCCTGGGGAAGGCACGTCTCAGGACGGGCTAGTTCTGGGGACCCATGGTGCGGTCAGTGCACCGGGCACCACAGGCTGAAAGCAGAGCTGGCGATCACGGTCATGCCAAGGTGGCTGGAGGAAGGGGCTGAAGGCAGGGCCTGAGCGGAGAGGGGAAGGGAGGGCCCACCATCCTCAGTGGGGTGGGGGGCGGACACTGGAGGAAACGTGGTCTGTGCTGCCAATGTCCAGAAAAGGCAAACACACACAAACAGTGGGGCGCCCACGTGGATGGGCGCACACCTGTGGGGGCTGGGGGGCAGCACTCTGAAAACACTGCCCCTTGAGAGAAACCATAGGACCGCCCACCCCAGGGGGAGGGCACGAAGGGGGCCCAGGGCTGCAGAGCAGTGTGGCTGATATCTCAAATGACAGGACCCCGAGGGTACCCTGGGGCCACCACTCCCCAAAGTCCCTGGAACACGGTCAGGGCCTGGGGAAACCCCTCTTCCAGGGTGCATTACAGAAATGCCACTCTATGCCAATTCCCTGACAGCACCCAGTCTCCTTTCCTGCACCCCTCCAGCTGACTGGGCACCCTGTTTAAGTTGTGGGCATCAGAAGCAATCCCTACAAGGCCAGCATCAGGCCCTGCCCCCTCCTCTCCCCCCCACCCCCCGCACAAGACTCTCCCTCCTTCCCCAGGTCACTTCCTAATTCAACATTAAAGGGGAAAAATAAAAGAGGCTAGCTACACTCCTTTTAATCAGTGGTGGTGGGTGGGTGGGCGGGTGTGTGTGTGTTCATGTGTGAGCTGGGGGATGAGAAGGTGCACGTGTGGGTTCACAGTGATGGCGAAGCAGACCGTGTGCATGTTTGTGTGTGTATACATGTGCATTGGTGGTGACGGTTTGTAAGGATGTGTGTGATAGTGGCGGGTGTGTGCATGTGTGTGCTGATGTGATGGTGAACATGTGTTGGTGATGAAACTGTCACTGGTGATGGTGAAAGAATGCGTGTGTGTGTGCGTGTTCACATGTGTGTGTGTGTGTGTGACAGTGATGCTGAATGAGGACGTGCGTGTTTGGGGAGAGGCTGGCTAAAAAGGTTCAGCTTCCCAAAGTCCCTGAAACATTCCTCGCGGTGGCCACGAGGGCGCGGCATGCCCCGACAGAAGGCACCGCAGTGCCCCGCGCCTCACGTGAAGTAGCTTTTCTACTTCCCTGAGCTCCTGTGTGAGAACAAGAGGAACAGGCCAGCGCCGCGGCTCAATAGGCTAATCCTCCACCTAGCGGCGCCGGCACACCGGGTTCTAGCCCAGGTTGGGAGCCCGGATTCTGTCCCGGATGCCCCTCTTCCAGGCCAGCTCTCTGCTGTGGCCCGGGAGTGCAGTGGATGATGGCCCAAGTGCTTGGGCCCTGCACCCCATGGGAGACCAGGAGAAGCACCTGGCTCCTGCCATCGGGTCAGCGTGGTGTGCCGGCCGCAGCGCACCAGCCATGGCGGCCATTGGAGGGTGAACCAATGGCAAAAAGGAAGACCTTTCTCTCTGTCTCTCTCACTATCCACTCTGCCTGTCAAAAAAAAAAAAAAAAAAAAAAAAAACAGGAACAAACAGCAGCTCCTTGCTGCCTTGCTGCGTGTAGCTGAATCTCCACCCTCTGACCACGCCCCCCTTCCAGGAGGGGCCAGGGCCAGCCTCCTTCCCCTAAAACCCCGGCCCTGCTATTATTCACCAGTCCCCGTTTGCCCACTGCAGCGGGTACACCTTAAGCCAGTGACTTTTTTCTCTTTGGACAGAGAAAGTTCCATTGAGGTTCACTGAGGCAGCCATGGAACGAGCTTTCTTTCTTCCCCCAAGAGAATGGGAACGCGACCAGGCAGCAGGTTGGCTGCAGAGGTCACGGAGGTCCAGACTCTTCCCCCATCTGCACCCATTTCAGCAGTGAAAACGGCCCCTGCACATCTAAAGGAACAGAAGAGGCAGGCAGAGATGCCAGCATTCTGTTTCAGAGCGGCCACAGAACGAAGGCAGAGCGAGGGAGTGAGGGGAGAGCCCAGGACCTAACAGGGCTCCAGCCAGCTGCTGCCTTCCAGGTTGGCGGTGGGAGCCAGGGCCGCCTTCATTTGTGCCAGCTCAGTGAATACAGAAAGCCAATCACAAGCACTTAGGAGGGACGGGGAACCAACATCCAAGAGGCTTCGAGCAGGTGTAGCCAGCCCAGCCGTCCCCGGCACCACACACCTGCCTGCACCCCGTGCTTACCTGGTGCGCTCAGCCCCTGGCTGGAGGCCCAGGCCCGACGAGGGCGACAGCGCGGGAGCCGCAGGACTGTCCAGGGGCTGCTCCGGCAGCGGGGACGGCAGAGGGGCGGCCAGCTCAGCGGGCGGGGCGGGCGGCTGCATGGTGGGCGGGGCGCAGGACGCTTTCCGGCCGGCCGAGGAGCCTCTTCGAGCCACCCAAGAGGTGTCCATGACCCTCACGCCCATGCTGGCGAGGGACACAAAAGACGGCTGCTTACCCCAGTGCGAGGGACAGGTGGCAGGCTCCCTCCCCCACCAAGCAGAACCACTCAAGCAGGTCGGTGTTAGGAGAGCAGCGCAGCCTTAGCACCCTGCTGGGCCCGAGGAAGCAATGGATGCGCGCGCGCACACGCTGGATGCACTGGGGCTGTGCTCCAAGCCGCAGCCCTGGGCGGCCCAGCAGCCCTCTCTCGGCAGCAAGGCTCAGTCTGCAGCTCCAGAGCCCTGGAAGCTGTGCCTCCGCCCTCTGCGAAGCCAGCGGGCCTGCGGACCCTACACCCCCGAGCTCCCAGGGTTTGGAGCCCACGCTGTCCTCAGCGCACACAGTGGCCTCATGGGGGCTGGGGGGGAGGGGGAGGTGGGGGCAGTCCTCCAAGTGTGGATGAAGGTGGGAAGGCCAGGGACCAGGTAGCCTCAGAGTAAAACGCCTAACAGACCAGCGGGAGACCTCTCAATATACACCTTTCTGCTTTTCGTAGCTCGGGGTCTGGCCCCGGCTCCGGCACTGCCCGGCATCCCCAGTCCATCCCCGGAAGAAGCTCCTGGCTCTTGGCTTTGGATGGGTACAGCTCCACCTCTGCAGGCCACAGCTCGCTCTACGCAGCAAGGAAGGGGCTGCTCATGCCTACAGCCCCTCTGGGCCACGAGACTGCTTTAATGCATGAGCACAC